TCACTCACTCACTCACTCACTCACTCACTCACAGACATTCACACACATGCACACACACATTCACACTTACACACATATTTTCTTTCTTACTTTTTTCTCATACTTTTTCTCTGTCTCCTGCTCTCTGTCTCCTGCTTCTTTAAATTTATCCCAGTCTTCTTTTCCTTCTCTTTGTCTTTTTTGTGTTCTTGTTTTTATTTCCTGTATTTCTTCCCCATTTTTATCACTATCTATAGATAGATATATACACATAGGTTTTCATGAAGAAAATTCTAACAAATTTTTAGATACATGAACTTGAATCTTATATTTCAGAATTAGATGGGAGTAGTGGCAGCAGAAAAATGTGTGGTGGTAACCCAGCTGCAGTTGAACGCATGTTAGCATTTGGAAGAGAAGTTCAACACATGAGTCAAGTCTTACGAAGAGAATTGGGCAAAAATGACCATAATAAAAAAATGCTTCAAGTTAGTATTTCATATTTTTTAATATATTTAGAAATTTCTGCTAAGTTTATAATTTGAAAGAATGTACTGTTTTTCTTTTTTTTCTATTTATTTATTTATTTATTTTTATTATTATTATTATTATTATTTTATTTTATTTTTTTATTTTATTTTTTTTTTATTTATTTATTTTTTTTTTTTGCTTGATGTCATTCCTTGATACAGGTAACAGAAACTATTATCCAATAACATTTTGATTTTGTCAGATTTTACTCTCCAGCATTTAGTTATGTAAATGATTCAAGGTTACTTGTTTTAAGGGAAGGTATTTCAGTGAATGTTTGATCTCAAAAGTGGGTAAGCATAGGATCTCAAAAGTGGGTAAGCATAGGCTTACTTTATCTTTATATCAGATTCCCCAAAATAACCTTACAGTATGAATTACCTGGAAATGAAATATCAATTGAGTAATGTGTTTTTAGATAAGAATTATTATCTGGCAGCACAATTTTTGTTGCTTACTATTGTGTCAGGGGCCACCACAGACTACTTACCAATTGCTTCATTGTTAATTTTGTTTTGTCACTTCTGTTATCACATAGATTGCTCTATAGGCCTTTAGTCCTGAGAAATTCAATTACTAGGCCAGAGAGACCTAGACTTTACCTGATTCCTTGAAATTTCAGATTTTTTTTTTTTTTTTTTTTTTGTAATACTAATATTATGTTATTGCCATTGATTGTGTATTGTATTAACCTATTGGATCCATTGTGTATTGTATTAACCTATTTGATCCAGTTGTGTCACGTAAATCACGGTGCCGAAAACATGGGCAATAGGTTATGCAAGAGGCCAACATCTTGGACGTGCGATGAGAAGGCTGGGTTTGCATGAACACTCATGAGCGGTGACAAGACACTGTGCCTCCCCATTCAAAAGTTATTTTGTGTAAACGTTTTTTTCCTTGCACAGACTCCATATCATCTCTCTACTTTGTAAATAACTTGTTGCAAGGGGAAAAAATATGGAACATTTGGTTATTTGTGTCTTGTATCTTATTTTTTTGTAATTTTCAATTTTACATAATACAACCTGTGCCACTGATCACAGCGGCCAGGAATGTAGTGCACAGCATGGAAATGGTGTCATCCCTGGAGCCAGTGCTCTTCTAGTCACTGCTTACGCATGTTACATTCCACTTTCGTTTATAGATGGGAATAGTGCTGAAGCCCCCTTCTAAGCACCAAATGAGTCAATTCACACTTCAAGAGGTTTGTGCACTCGTGGCGAGTCTTTTCTGTCACCCAGGTCTTAGCTCTTGACAGCAAGTTCACGTCATCCGGGCTGCAGGCAATTTGTCCGATGACAGCATGTTCACGTTACCCACCCTTCAATTCAAGTTTTTTCATGATGTGACCGCAACGTCATCTAGGTCCAATGGGTTAACAATATATGTGTAAAAAAAAACTTCATTCCAAAAATTACAAATATGTTCTGCTGACTCTTCAGGAGTAGTTCATCTGATAGTAGTTTGTTTGGTATCAATATTATATACAGACACATAAAGTTTAGGGGAATATGTGTGTGTGTGTGTGTGTGTCTGTGTGTGTGTGTGTGTGTGTGTGTGTGTGTGTGTGTGTGTGTGTGTGTGTGTGTAAAATAAAGCTATAAGATAATTGGGGCTTAAAATGAGCCAGATACAAATGGGAAACTGCTAGTGCACACCAACAGCCCACTTTACTGGCCACTTGCCAATATTCAATATTGCAGTTATTGGGTAGAAAAAAAGTGAAAATAAATGATTGACAGAATAAAAGATAATTTTTTATGAGGACAACAGCAATGGGTGTGGCTAGTGATTGACCTACTCTAGTAATAGTTGAAGATCCACAGAATGAAAGTGTATGTGCTTGTGTAATTGCAAGTAAACATAATCGCTTGTGAGGGCGACGGTGTTGCTTGTCAAAGACTTGCTCTTCAATTGTCCTATTGTCTCTACATCACTAACATTTTATTGTTTATATCCTTACTAGATGACAATCAATGAAAGAATGATGTGGTGTAGGGCTGGTTGGTAAGCAGCAGGTCAGTAGTGATCAGGTGATAAATGGGTAGTGGGCTGGTAGGGATCCTCTAATGGGTACTGGATCAGCTAGAGACTGTGGTGATGAGTCTTCCACTTTTTCTTGTGATTAGAAGCTAGGAAGAGCATGAGGATTAGCTCATGCTCAGAGAGAGGCAGAGAAGTCAAGTGATTCAGAACACCCTATATACATCCCCCCCCCCCCCCCCCCCCCCCAATTCAAGGAAGGGGTAAGCAGGAGAGGCTAAATATGTTGGTGTGAAGCTTAGGTGAGCAGGGTAAAACATTCCAAGGTTTTTAGAAAGGCAAGTTTAAGATTAGCTGGGTATTTATAGTTGTGATTTTTATTACCTTTATAATCCAGAATGTATCGTAGTAATAACAAAGTGATCTTCGAAGCCAAGACGAACACTTTTTCTCTATAGTGTATATGTAAATGTGAGAGTACATGTATGCAATAACCCTGATGTTGAAATACATATTTAAAATGCTTAATGTCAGGGACTCTGAGATGTTGTGACTATTCCATTTTTATATGTCATTTTACAGTCCTTGCCAACATAATAAGGGTGTAAAGAAAGATTTTTTATACTGACAAACAGTTATAGGCTCTATAGTTTTAGTGCTCTACACTTCTGTGAAGCCTTTGATTTTACATTTTGTTCTCAGGATGCCTTCAGTCTGTTAGCCTATAATGACCCATGGAACAGTCCTGTTGGATGGCAGTTAGATCCTCTTCAACGGGAACCAGTTTGTCAGTCATTAAATTCAGCTATATTAGGTAAATTATAAACTGTTCTCACATTCTGTGTTTTTTTTTAAATATTTGATAACATTATTGAAAATTACTGATTGGGATTTTGAAATAAAAAAGATGATTTCATATTGTTTTCAATTGTTTTCAATTGTTTTCAGAGTCTCATCAGTTACCTCGACGACCTCCTTTAGAGATCTGTGTGGCACACACTAAGCAGCTGATTAATCTCATGTCTCGTTCAGGACTTGGGTCGTGTGCCTTTGCCAGCGTAGAATCTATTCTTGGCAGCCAACAGTGACACTCCCTCTATGGGCCCTCCACTTCCTTCTCAGGGGCCTCCAATCCACTTTGGACCGCATTCTTGAAGTTTGTTTAAAAACTGCTTGACGGACTAGAAGTCACAAGCAGTTAGTGATGTTTTTGAGGGGCAATCCCCATTAAGTTATTAAGAAATATAGCTCAAGTGGATTTTTCCTGATGATGAGCTCGTGATACCTTGGAATTTGGGACAATGTATATTGCGCTGGTGTCAGGGAAATGGTTCACTTACAAATGACTGAAAGTTATAAAGGTTCATTATTATTGTACATAATTTGAGTTGTTCAGTTTGACAATAGTCTATCATGAAGCTCTCTCAGTGTGATGAGATATACCTGTATGAACAAAGATATTTAAAGTGGTTTATTATTTCTCATTACTAGGTGTGATAATTTATGTTGGAATATAGAAGGTGAGCTGCTGTTGAACATTGACCTAGAAACTATTGGATTTGATGAACGAGGCAATAGCTAAAGATCTCTTACTTGAAAAGTGGAAATTTATTTTTACTTTTGTGAACATACCTATATTCCACACAGATGTTATGCCATTGTGTGACATAGTATTGAATATTGTATGGATATCTTGATGAGTAAATGAATGAAAGAAGTGCAGCCTTCCTAGTTCTCTTTGTGAAGTTCTCATATTTATTACATTTCCTTTTTCACTGAATTTACATTTTATCAGAAAGGCAACTATGGATTTTATGAGCTGTATTTAGTTCAGATATGTTATGCACCAAATGGTATTGTATGAGCTAGTGGTAAGAAAGGCAAGCTGAGGTCACTTTCACATTATTAAACACAGATAGTCTGTGGAATGCTTGTAGAGAAGTAACATACACATGTTTATAGTATGTGTCATCTCTTGGAAAGTTGTCCAGATAATGTTTGGAAGAAAGTGTTGAGATTAGCATTTAGTATGAAGTTAATTTTTTTCTACATATACATTTTTTAAGTAAATTTCATTAAATTAGCATACCTAAAGAAATTATTTTGCCTGCTTTGCAATATTTGAAATGCAAGTTTGGCTTTTAACATTTACCGTCTGTCGTCAGTTGCATGCATATTCATATACATACATTCTGTTTCAGTGGAACATACTTGATTTAACTAAAAGGCTGTATTTGGAGGGCAGATTGAACTTGAATCAATGTTGTTATATTCTTATACTTTGCTAGGTAAAGCTAAGAATGTAAAACATTAAGCTGGAGTTTTGGGTCCATTTTCAGTTTGGTTGCCCAACTTGAGGTAATGGATGTAATAGATTAGTTATTGAGTGAACTGGGAAATGACATTTGGTGCACTCAGTCCCTCAATTCTATAAGAATGGTCACACTGTTGGTCAATATCATTTATGAAATTGCTGTGTAAGAATTGCTGTCACACATGAAAGAACAACTAGGGATGAGTAGGAAGTGAGGGACTGGAATAACTGTAATGCTCCTTAAATCAAAATAGCTTCTTGAGAAGAAAACCCAAAACCATGACCAATTAAAAAAAACACGCACAAGTATGTAGCCTGCGTGCTTATGCACATGCACACACATACACAAAGGCACACGCACTCACATACACACAGGCATATGCACTAATATACACACAGGCATATGCACTAATATACACACAGGCATATGCACTAATATACACACAGGCACATACACTCACATACACACTGGCACACACTCACATACAAACATGTTCGTACACATGCACACGCTCTCTGTCTCTCTCTGTCTCTCTCTGTCTCTCTCTCTCTCTCTCTCTCTCTCTCTCTCTCTCTCTCTATGTC